AGACTATCTATAGTTATATATAAAAATGGTATTTGAAGCAAGAATAGATTTACCTACAATTGAATTAAATAGTAAATTATCATTGGCAGAATTTATAATTGAAAAATGTAGAGAACATGGTGATAATATTGCCATGATTGATGGTACTTCACCTGATCCAAATTTACCTAATTGTACATTAACATATAATCAAATGGCTGATAACATGTTAACTATTGGTAATAATTTAATAGATCAATTTAATATTAAAAAAGGAAATGTTATTGCTATGATTTTACCAAATATACCTTTATTTCCATGTATATTTCATGGTATTGGTTATACTGGTATGTTTTTATACATTTATTTTATTAATTTTATTAATTTATTAATTTTATATTTTTATTTTATATTTTTTTTAATTTAATATTATATTTAATATTTAATATAATAGGTGGTATTATTACAACATTAAATCCATTATATAGTGTTGAAGAAATTAATAATCAATTAAAAGATTCTAATGCTTGTATGATGTTTACATTACAAACATTTTTAGAAAAAACAATTTTAGCCTGTAAAGGAACTAATGTTAAAAATATATTTGTATTAAATTATCAACCATCTGATCAATTTAATAATTTATTAAATGAAAATGATTTAATTAAATTAATTGATGCTAAAATTTTATTAGCAAAACAAAATGTTGAAATGAGAAAAATTGATATTAATCCATTAGAAGATTTAATTGCTTTACCTTATTCATCTGGTACAACTGGTATGTTTTTAATTTATTTATTTTAATATTTTTAATATTTATTTAATATATTTGTAATTTAAATATTAAATAATTTATTTATTTATAATATTTAATAATATAAATAGGATTATCTAAAGGAGTTTGTTTAACACATTATAATTTAATTAGTAATGTACTTCAAATTGGAGCTAAATATGAAAAATTAACTAAAAATGATGTAATTGTAGCATTATTACCATTTTTCCATATATATGGAATGACAGTTTTATGTAATTTAGCTTTATATGAAGGTAGTAAGGCAATTACAATGGCTAGATTTGATTTGGAAACATTTTTAAAAATAGTTCAAAATTATCAAGTGACTAGAACACATTTAGCACCTCCAATTATTTTAGCATTAGCAAAACATCCAATTATAGATAAATATAATTTAACATCTATGAAATATTGTTTAAGTGGTGCTGCTCCTTTATCTTCTGATGTTTCACAATTACTTTCTAATAGATTAGGTGTTATTGTTAAACAAGGTTATGGTATGACTGAAAGGTAATTTTTATTATTTAATTTTTTTATTTATTATTTAATTTTATTATTTAATATTTAATTTTAATTATATTTAATAATATTTAATTTAATATTTTATAGTTCACCTGTTGTATCAGTATGTGGAGATACAAGTGATTTAATTAAAGATGGATCATCTGGATTATTAGTTAATAATACCAAATTAAAAATTATTGATACAGAAACAGGTAATGAAATTACTGAATATGGACAAGTTGGTGAATTATGTTTTTCAGGACCACAAATAATGAAAGGTTATTTAAATAATGAACAAGCAACTAAATCAACTTTAATTGATGGTTATTTACATACTGGTGATTTGGGTTATATTGATCAAGATGGTTTCATTTTCATTGTTGATCGTTTGAAAGAATTAATCAAATATAAGGGTATTCAAGTACCACCATGTCGTATGTACATTGTTTATTTTATACTAATAATATTTAATAATATATTACAATAATATATTTAAAAATAATAATAATAGAATTGGAAGGTATATTATGTAAACATCCAAAGATTCTTGATTCAGCAGTTATTGGAGTACCAGATGAAGAAGCAGGTGAATTACCAAAAGCCTTTGTTGTTCTTCGTCCAAATGAAATCATGACAGAAGAGGAAGTTATGGAATTTGTTTCCCAATTTGTAACTCCACAAAAGAAGATTAGATTGGTTGAATTTATTCAGGAAATTCCAAAATCAACTGCTGGTAAAATATTAAGAAGAATTTTAAAACAAAGAGAATTGGAAAAATTAAAGAATATTCAATAATAAATTAAATAATATTTTATACTTTATTTTACAGAATTTCAAATAATGGAGTTCTTACTTTTGGAATAATTTGGATAGATTTGAATTTGGAAATTTTGATTAAAATCAAAACTTATTAGATTAAAAGTGACTTGATTTCATTGTGTTTTCATTTTTGATTTATGCTTTTTGGCGATTTCTTCGATTAAATCAACTTCACTCTTTGTAATACCGAACGAGGGGATGGAAAATCCTCGATCCAAATCCCACGCTTTGCAGATGGATTGTTGGATCCATCCGCAAAGCCAAAATACCGTGTGATGTTGTGGATCCTGTTTGGCGGAGGAGCCGCGTGGGATTTGGATGGCGGATTTTCCATCCCCTCTACCGAACCTATTTCCCCAGTTTTTTGTATTTTGGGTAATTCTTTCTGAACATCTCGTAAAATTGCTCTCACAATTTGTTGTTGTTTGATCTTTTCTTGATGATACTGTTCGTAATCAAATTCATCCTCTTGTTCAACAGGTTGTGCCATTTTTTTTTGTAATTCCAAATCTGAAATCCAAATTACTCTTAGAATTATTCATTTTAAGATTTACCTTTCAAAAATTTCCAACTTTAAAACAACTCAATACCCTTGTAAAGCACGTTAACAACTCACCATCAAACAACTCAATCATCAAGCAACTCTCATCAAGGCACTGCAAGATCAAGTCAACTCACTTCTCTTCTGTCATTGACTAAGATTCAATCAGAACCTACATGTTCATCAAATATTCAGAACCTTCAATCTCAATCTCAAACCTCAATTAGAAACTCCTTTTCAACCTAAACAACCACAACAATTAAATCTCTTCTAGATGATTTCGATACAGTAATTGATCACTGGTATATTCCTGACAATAAGAAAAATACACTCAACCTTATTGTGTCAAATTCAGAACTCCAACAACAGCTAATCCAATATCTAAACTCTAGTTCCAAGCACAAGTACTTTGCCTCTCCAATTCTCTTTACCATCACAAATGCCTTAACTACCAAAGAAGATGCATCCCTTGTTAAAATCAAAACACACATCAGTTTTACTATTCTTCAAAAGAAGTACAAGATCCACCAAATGAGCCTTATATTCAATCCAAAAGAAAAGATGTATAAATTAAGAATTGAAACTGACACTAAAACATCATTTAATCAATTTATTGAGAATGGTTTTGAACCTATCATTAGAAAGAAAGGAAACCCAATGGCAACCTGTAATTTCCCCGATCAAAGACGCAGTCAATGAGTTATGTAAAAAGAACACTATTCAATTTGATCCAAGACATCTTTTTATTAAGAAAAAGAACAAGGAAACCTACTCCCTTCAAATTGTTGAATATTTGCTAAAGAATTGACTTCTACAAGTTTCATTTATGAAATTGAAAGCAAGCCAATCTTTAAACAATTCAAGGTTCAAAAAACTTGACAAATTTAATTATTGGTGTTAACAATAAACTAATATTACATTTTCCCTCCATCAAAATAATGGATTATGATAATCGGTTGACTCATTCAATTTCATCTAACTGAATGTTTGAGGCTGTTGTAATTGAATGATCGGAGATTAGAATAAAAAAAAATGCCAAAAATCAATGATGTTAATAATCAATTACAATCATTAGAATGTAATAATTTAAATAATGATGAATCATTATCATCACTAATGAAATTATCATCCAATGATTGGTATGAAATATGTAAATATATTTCACCATGTGATATATTTAGATTATCACAAATTAATACTATATTTTATTATTATTATTTTAATACTAATAATAATAATAATATTAATAATAATATTAATAATAATAATAAATATAATTATATAACATTTGAATGGTATCCTAAAATGATAATTAATTCAATTATTAATCATTTAAAAGAAATTAAATATATTGAACCATTATTATTTGATAATGAATTTAAAATAATTAGAGAAATTAATTTTAAAATACCTTCAAGACAATATTGGAAACAATTACTAAAAATATATTTAAAATTTAATTATTTAATTTTATTAGATCAGGATAAAAATAATGTAAATAATTATGAATTTATTATTAATATTAAATCTAATCATTTTAAATATTTTTTTGAAAAATATAAAATTAATGAAAATATTTTAAATAATATTGAAAATAATTTAAATGAAAATTTAATTTTAAAATGTCATGGTTATAAATATGATAATAATAATATTAATTTATTTAATATTGAAAAAATTATTATTAATCAAGAATTAAATCCAATTGATATTACTATTGCAATTGCTAATATTGAAAGAATTCCTAAAAATGGAACATTTCATAAAACTTTAAAAAATATTTTATATTTAATTTATCAAAGTAATGAAATTTCAAATAATGTAGAAAAGGCATTAATTAAATATGATCATATTATTAATCAAGAATTTATTTATCCAAATAGAAATATTTCCTTTAAAGTAAATAGATTAGATAAATTTAACAAAATTTATTATTGTTATAAATTAAATTCATATCCTGCTACTATAAATATATTAAATAATCCATTTAGAATAATTCCAACATTTACTAAAAATATTTATTTTAAATTAATTGGATTTACAATTTTAGATTTTATTTATTTATTTTTATTAATTTATTATTTTAAAATTAAATTTGAATCTGATACATATTCTTGGTTTAGACATACAATTGATTATTATAATTCTGAATATTTTAAATCTGGTTCATTTATTTATAGAATATTTGATTATTTTCTATATTTAGCAATATCAATATCATTTTTATTTATCCCAATTAGTGCTATTATTCCATTTTTACAATTATTTGAATATTTAATGGATAGTGATTTTTTTAAACCACCTATTATTAGAGAAAGAGAATCAATTTATAATTTATTTGGAATTTTTGAATTGTTACATGTTTTACAATATATTTATTTATTTATAAATATATGTTTAAATGCATATGGTAAAATTAAATTATTATATCATTCTATTAAATTATCATTGAATAATTATTGTAAAAATAGTAATAATTGGTTTATTAAATTATTTAAAAAATATTTATTGTAATTTTACCAAAATAATACTCTCTTTACATCAATATAATGAATATTTAATATATACACTTTTTATTCCGATAAAGTCTTGAAACAATAAAACAATTTAATGTTTACAATCAATGTAATACAACCATAGAAATAGAGTCATAAAAGTACCTCAACCATAGTAGTACCTTTTTTACCTCAATATTACTACAAAAGTTCCCAACATTTAATATTTCATCTATTACAAGTATCACAAATAGCCTTCATCAAGGCCTTTGTATGATGCTAGATGAAACATTTCTCTAATAATTTCCATAAATGTTCCCGTCTATTTTGTCCGCTATTTTTCTCCCTTAAAAGAGTTTCAAAAATGTCCAAGCCTTCACCACCATCATGCAAGTGGAGATCAACAACACAAAAAAAAGAGTAAGTGTGCATTATCATGTTTATTTATTGAATATTTACTGTTTTTGTGTGGGTGGTGATTCGGAATTATTATTTGCTTATGATCATGATTATTGATGAAACTTTGCTAAACTACATATTTCTATTTTGAAACTTGATTGTTGTTTTTATTAAAAAGAAAAATGCAAAAGATTGGTTCAAATATTAAGAAAATTAAGAAGGGTTATTCATCATCCAACCCCCTTAGAAATTGTATTAATAATACTCAACATTGTTCTTATTCCGATTATCAATCTCATCATTCATTTTCTAAAGATGTTATATTTACTAATGAAGTATGTTTAATATTCTCTCTAAAAATATTCATCTTACAATCATCATAATGTATCTTACTATTCATCATCATACAATCATATTATTATTGTATATATTATTTTTATCAATTAAGAGTGGTATTGATGTAATGAATAATGGATTATTAAATAAGGGAACATCATTTAGTAAAACAGAACGTGATAGATTAGGTATTAGAGGGTTAATTCCACCAACAGTTTCAAATATAGATACTCAATTAATGAGATTAAAAGAAAGATTTAGTACCATTCAAACAGATATTGAAAAGTATCAATTTTGTACACAATTACATGATCGTAATGAGACTTTATTTTACTATTTTATTGTAAATAATATTAAGGAATTAGCTCCAATTATTTATACACCAACTGTTGGAAAGGCTTGTGAAAACTTTTCACATATTTTCCGTAAACCAAGAGGAATGTTCTTTTCAACTTTAGATAAAGGTGAAATGAAATCAATGGTTTATAATTGGCCAGTTGAAGAAGTTGATGTTATAGTTGTAACTGATGGTGGTAGAATTTTAGGTTTAGGTGATTTGGGTGCTAATGGTGATGGTATTCCAATTGGTAAATTATCTTTATACGTTGCTGCAGGTGGTATTAATCCAGGAAGAGTTTTACCTGTTTTATTGGTATGTTTAATGATTTATATACATGTATATATTTAATATTCTTATTATTTAACCTTAATGAATCTATTAATATATGAAATCAAATATATGAAATCAAACATAATATGAAATCAAATATATATGAAAATATAGGATGTTGGTACAAATAATGAAAAGTTATTTAATGATCCATTATATTTAGGATTGAGACAAAAGAGATTAACAGGACCTGAATATTATGAACTAGTTGAGGAATGGGTAGATGCCATAGTTTCAAGATGGCCAAATGTATTAATTCAATGGGAAGATTTTTCAAGTGATAAAGCAGATGCACTCTTACAAAAATATCGTGATAGAATTTTATGTTTCAATGATGATATTCAAGGAACTGCAAGTGTTATTCTATCAGGTGTTTTAAATTGTTTAAGAGCTACTGGTCAATCATTTTCAGATATAACAAAACAAAAGATTTTAATTGTTGGTTCAGGTGCTGCTGGAATGGGTGTTGTTTCTGGTTTGAAAGAAGCAATGAAAAGAGAAGGTTTAACTGAAGAAGAAGCATTGAAGAATTTTTATATTGTTGATAAAGATGGTTTATTAACAAGTGAAAGATTAAATGAAATGGGATCAACATTATCTGATACTGCAAAAATGTTTGCTTATGCTAGAAATGATATGAAAGAAGGATCATCACTACTTGATGTTGTAAAACAAGCTGAACCAGATATTTTATTAGGAATGTCAAGTCAACCTGGATTATTCTGTGAAGAAGTATTAACATATTTTAATTCAGCATGTAAGAGAAAGGGAAAGACACCAATTGTATTCCCACTTTCAAATCCAACATCTAAGGCAGAATGTACAGCTGAATCAGTATTTAAAATAACAGATGGAAATGCTATTTTTGCAAGTGGATCACCATTTAATCCTGTACCATTACCTAATGGACAAGTTATTCAAACATCACAAGCAAATAATATGTTTGCTTATCCAGGTGTTGGTTTAGCTGCTGTTTTATCAGGATGTAATACTATATCAGATAATATGTTTTATGCTGCTTCTAAATCACTTGCTGCAACTGTTTCAGATGAAGCATTGAAGAGAAAGGAAATTTATCCACATGTTGAAGATATTAGAGAAGTTAGTAAGAAGGTTGCAATTGGTGTAATGAGACAAGCATATTATGAAGGTAATGCAAAGAAACTTAAACATTTACCAAAGGAATTTATTGATTCTGATATTGAAATGGATAAATATGTATCAACAAGAATGTGGACTCCAAAATATGTACCAATTGTCGTAAAGGATTAAATTATTTTTTTATATTTATTTATTCGAATTGAAATTGAATTTAACTTGTTAGAGTAGATTGAATTCATATACCATATTAAGAATATTAACTTTAAAGGATGAATTGGTAACAATAGAAATTTGTTAATTTGATTTTAGAGAAGAAAAAAATGGTAAAGACTACATCAACCAAATCATTATTTTCATCTTTATCATCACCAGACTCATCATTAACCTCTTCATCATCTTCAAATTTTGAATCTTTATTTGAAAAATCTAAAAGTCAATTTGATCAAATTTCACTAGAATTTGAATTAATCCTAAATACTTATAAACTTAAATCACAAAAATTAGATCTCACTGAAAGGAAATTAACTAAAAAGGAGAAATTATTGAAAGAGAGAGAATTACACCTTAATGAAAGAGAAACTATTGTAAAAGAACATGAAGAATATTTTAATTGTTTAGAAAAGAAATTATCAATCACCACAACAATTGAAACTAAATTAGGAAAAAATCAAAAAGTTAAATTAGATATCGGTGGTAAAATATTTGTAACAACTTTATCAACATTAACAAGTGTTAAAGATACATTCTTTACTGGTTATTTTAATGATCATTTCAATCCAACCGTTGAAGATGATGATAATTCATTCTTTATTGATAGACCAAATGAACAATTTCATTTAATTTTAAATTATTTGAGAGGAATTGATATTAAATGTAAAATAGCAAGTTTAAATGAATGTGATTTAAATGATTTTATTGAAGAAATTGTTTATTATCAATTAACACCTATATATGAAATATTGCCCTCCAATGGAATTGATATTTTGAGAACAAAATATTCCATTAATAGTAATCCTTAAATAATAAACTTATTTTAGCAATACCTTATTTAATAGCTAATCAAGGCCACGAATGAGAGAAGAAGATTTTTTGAAGCTAGCTTTCCAACAACTAAGAATTAACAGAGTTGGAACCAATCTTGTTCAATTACCTAATAAAATTGAGTGGTGGAGATCAAACATAGACCAAGTTCCCTTATTCGAAAATGCAGTCCAAAGAAACTAACTATTTAATCCAATAAGTTAAATAAATAAAATATCCATTCTTATATATCCTTCTGTTGATAAAATTATGAAAATTCACCAAGGCCCCAGTATCTGCTTAGTATTTTTACCTTAAATCATGAAGGGGTTATAGCTCAGTTGGTAGAGCGTCTGCTTTGCATGCAGAAGGTCTAGGGTTCGATTCCCTATGACTCCATTTTGCACAATTTTGTACATATAAAAATCTAGTTGATATAAACTCTTACTATAATTTATTCCCTTATAACACCTTAATGTATTCCCGTGTAGGATACCTGGCTTTCACCCAGGAGGTCCGGGTTCAATTCCCGGCATGGGAGAATATGTTGTTTTTAAGGATTATAATATTAACAATAGCAAATAATCTTTGAATGCTAGAATTAGAATATAAATGTTTCGAATTAATAAAATGAATTGTAACCTTTGTAATTCGATACAAAGGTTATAACTTAATAATAGGAGTAACCCTGATAATGAGATAGGTTCAAAATTCGAGTTTGGATTTGTTATTTACAAATTTAACTGAATTGAAAAATACTTCCTCCTTTTTAATGATAAATGACATGGAAATGAAGTCACTTGCTTGCAACCATTCTTGAGTTGTTTCTTTGGATGGACTCCTTATCTGATGATAATCACCACTGTGGAATTTAACATCAAAAGAAATACGAAACAACAATACACCAGAAAGATTGCTATTGCTTTGATTTGTGTACAGAAAAGAACAAGTTGAATAATTCCTTTGTTCGCAACGAAACTCATATCAAAACTGTTTCGATAATAACATTTATGTTTGAATCAGCAGAACAGTTCAACTCAACTTTCCATCAAAATTAAACAGACCTGAATGACCAATTGGAAAACCACAAAAACTATGGAATTCAAGAAGGAGATAGAGAGTATGAAATTATTTTATAGAGAAAGTTTGAGATATTCCACTTTTATTCGTTGAATTTCAAATCTAAAGTTATATGTAAAAATTCGCGGTCTACAGGATTCGAACCTGTGCGGGTCGCCCCAATTGATTTCTAGTCAATCACCTTAACCACTCGGTCAAGACCGCTTCACATCAATGCCATAAATATTGCTACAGAGATTATTTAGAGGTTGTATTGAGCTAATCATCCAAAAGAAATCCATTTGCTTCCTTATATTTGAAGTCATATAGTTTCCAATTTCCTTTCTTCCATGATAGTAATTATCTATTGTGAGAGCATCCATTGCAAAATTCAAATTATTACGCAATCTATTGGATGCATAACCAAAAGCAGATGAAAATTGTTTAATTCCTGCCATAATAACATCTTCATCATCCTTCAACTTGTCAGATATGTAGTACATAAAACTTGAATCACCATTCATTCTACATGAATCTATTGTATCCATAACAAACGATTTTGAGTCTCTCAACTCTTCAGAAGCATATTGGAAACAATTAGTAGTCTCACGGACAGCCATTGTCATGATAGAACGATCACCCAACAAATCTGAATCAAAATATTTGACAACCTCCTCAGCCTTCGAATCCCAATCAATGATGGCCTTCTCAATGAATTCCTTTTTCTTTTTCAAACGATCGGATAAGAATCGATAGGTTGTAGGTGAATGTTCTAAAGCCTTTGCCATCCAATATTCATCATCATTATTAGGAAAATCATGTACTCCAAATACATATTCTATATCTTCCGGATTGACATTAATAAATTCAGTGGTAATAAATTCTTCCATAGATAAATTTGCATAGGAAGAAGCTACTGGTTGTTCTGACATTTTTTTTGTTTTTTATTAATAAACGATGAACTTTGGCCTTTAACCAAAGGCTAAAAAGGTAACAAAGGTTCAGACTTCATAATTAGAATAAAAAACAAAGCATAAAATCAAAAATTCACACGCAGACTGCAGGATTCGAACCTACGAAGGTTTCCCCAACAGATTTCAAGTCTGTCGCCTTAACCACTCGGCCAAGTCTGCTACGATTAGATTAAAGAATTAATATATAAAGTTTGTATTAAGAACCTTGGTTCACCAATCAATTCTAATTTTGAATCTATTCTCAATTGTTTCAAGATGATAATGAAAGGAAACCCTCCCAGTTAAGTTTTTACAAAAAAAAATGAACTCACTTCCTACAGACACAATTTTATACTTAATGGATTTTATGATCATTCCATCGGGTGAATATAAAAACATATTTTCATTAAATCGACATTGGAAAGAAGCAACGGAGGAAAATCCTGAATTTTGGTTAAGACAATTAGCAGGCTTGTTTTTTATGATTTGTAAAGAAAAGGAAAATATTGGAGGTGATTCTAATACGGAATTGCCATCACCAACATCATCTTCATCCTCAACTTTGGATCAATCAAAGTCAATTACTACTGGTCATCAATTGTTTTCTATTCAAGGCTTGAATTATTTTCAATTTTATTGTAAATTCTTTTGTAATAGGAAAGGAATGCACCATTTAATGAAACATCAACCAGTTTTAAAGAAGATTTTTAAAAAAGTTGCTGATTTTCTTGTAATTATTGAAATGAGAGAACATAATGAAAAAATTGAAGATTTTAGTTTAATTAGAAAAACATTTCTAAATTTAAATTCGAATATTAAGGGATATGTAAAGACTAAATTTGAAAAGGAAAAATTATCAATGTTGACACATTCAAAAGTATTTGATTATTATCAACAATATCAATTCTTTTTTAAGGATGAATATGAAATTAATCAAGATTTAATTAATTCAAAAACTGATACAAGTTATGACGTATATTGGACCTATTTACTTTCATACACTAAAAGTATTGAACAACAGAAAGGATTGGATCTATTACAATTGTTTCTAGATAATAATATTTATTCTAAACAATATTTTATTAGAAAGGTAGCAACTTTGATATTATTATTGACACTTTCAGAAATAGAAGATGAATCATACCGAGAAAAAGTATTTGAATTATTATTGAAAATATTGAAGAAATATTTTCAAACTTCAATTGCTTCGAATTTTACTGCCAAGTATGAAAAGGGAAGCGAATTATTTTCATTCATGTTGTTTGATCCGTATGAAACGGCTAGAATTAAATTGAAATATATTGAGAGAGTGAAACAAGAAATTGCTCCAAGTATTGTTTCAAAAGGTTTTGACAAACAGGCAAAAGACCTCAAAATAATCTATACTCAAACTGAACTAATTGATCTAGTAGGAAGTACAGATTTTTATCAATTAATTGGATACATTTTACAAAATTTCCATTGTGATCCTGTTATGCTTGATAAAATACTATCACGTGCCATTAATAGAATAACCATTTTAGAATTTTACAAACAATCAAAAATAACGTACAGCAAAGTTTGCAATTTGAAGTTTTTTATTTCCAATGATGATTTTCAGTTTGAATTTGAGGAGGTACTTCCTATTATACTTAAACATTACGAAACTGATGGAAAGGATATGAGGCAATTAATCAAAGATTTCCAAAAATCAACTGAACCATTTAATGAAATTTTACGATTAGGAAATAATTTAGAAATGTTGAGAATTAGGTTACGATACTTTTTCAAACTCTATTCTCAATTTTTTACAAAGGATCAAATCAAGATGTTCCTTAAACATGCCTATTTCCACTCTGGAATGATTGGACAAAGTCATAACATTGAGGTTACTAAAATCTTTTTCGAAGATTATCAATTGACTCCATCAGATTGTTCAATGGTTGTAACCTCGATAAATCCGTCAATATTCAAATGGACTGAAGATATTCAGAATGCAGTCCATAATTTTCCATCCAAATTTACGCCACATAAGAAACCTAAAGAATTTAAAATGCACCCAATTGTGAATCACATTCTTACTAGAAGGGATAGAGATCATATTGGTAATTTAGATGGATTTGTGGAAATTTGTGGAGATGATAGAGTTGTAATTCCTCTCCTTCTCGATCATAATGGAGCTTCTCGTGATGTCAAGCAACATATTTATGTAGATTATATGGAGCAAAAGAAAAAGGAACAAGCCTACAGATACGTAATCAAATACATCACCTTAAAGGAATTGATTAAGAGCCCAAATATGAAAATACTGTACTAAGTTCTAAAAGTGCTATGTAATAAAAATTTCATGGCTCGCCACGTTTACCGTCTCGGGAGGAATCGAACCTCCGTCAATGGATTCAAAGTCCACTATGCTACCATTACACCACGAGACGAGCACATTCATTTTGAAATTTTAACATTCATATTTAATATTCTTTTATCATTTTCTTGTTAAGCTCTATTCGCTACTATTATCTATTCGCATTCCATCGATCTGTGGCCAGATCACGTTTCAAAGTTTCATATTAGGTCTTTTGATATTGAGAATCTTGTTGGACAACAATGCATTTCCAGCAAATACACAACTCCTGAAAAAAAGAAACAACATGTCTTCAATCCTTGTTGTCGGTGTTTTTGGCACTGATGGTAAACTCTCAACCACTGCTCAAACTATTTTTACCTCTAAATTCCAAGACAACAAATTCTTAAAGAACAATTCATGGGTTGGCACTGATCGTAGTGTTGAATTGTCCTTGTTGAATGTTGATGATGTTTTTGAGACTAGTTTCACTCTCAGAAATACTATTGAAAAGATTGTTTTTGTTGGTGTTGCTCAAAAGGAAAAGAAGCCTACAGAAAATTCAAGTGTTTTTGAACTCTCATCACAATATAGTCAACAAGCTGTTGCTGATAGACATGAATTTGTTACTCTCAACCAATCTATTAGAAATCAAGTAACAACTCTTGTTGAATCCATCAAGAAGGATAAGAAGGATGAAAAATTCGTTATTTACTTTGATGATTTCAATGGTCATTCACAAGCTGTTGCTGAAGGTGCTGCTTTGGCTACTTGGAAATTTGATTTGGACTTTGATAAGTTTTTGGCTCCAATCTTTGGTCGTGATGGTTTATTGTTGAATTCATTCAAGGCTCTCCCATCGGCCACTGAAAATGATCAAAAGCAATTCAAGACTGGTATTATTACTGGTAGCTCTCAATTGTTCAGTAGATATATTTTGGAACTTCCAGGTAAGTTTAATTTGATATCAAGTATTATTAACAGGATTCATTTATTATCTATTATATACTACTTTTGATCATAATAATAATAATATTATAATTTTATAATTAATTGTTAACATCTGTATCTACACACAACAATATTCGGAATGTCATATCATTGTCATACTATTTAGCTAACTATTGTACACCAATCAAATATTGTGATTTACTTAAATTGAAGATTGAAAAGTATTCATTGTTCGTCAGTCAAGAATTCCTCTCTGCCAAGAGTAAGATTAATGTCTACGATGAAGAATGGGCTAAATCAAAGGGTATGGGATCATTCCTCTCCGTTACTGCTGGTACTAGTGCTCCAGCTAGAGTTTTGGAAGTTGTCTATACTAACAATTCTCAAAAGAAGGCTGATGAATACGATTTGGCTATTCTTGGTAAGGGTATTACTTTCGATTCTGGTGGTATTTCATTAAAGCCAGGTGAAGGTATGAAGGAAATGAAGGGAGATTGTGGTGGTTCATCTGCTGCTTTTGGTGCTGCTGTTGCTGCTTTGGAATTGGAATTGCCATTGAATATTATCACTGTTGCCATGTTGTGTGAAAATATGCCAGGTCCAGATGCTACCAAGCCAGGTGATGTTGTCATTGCTATGAATGGAAAGACTATTGAAGTTGATAACACTGATGCTGAAGGTAGATTAATTTTGGCTGATGGTTTGTGTTATTTGAGTGAAAAGCAACCAGAAGTTTTGTTGGATATGGCAACTTTGACAGGTGCTGTTATTATTGCCCTTTCTCATGTTACTGCTGCTGTTTACACTAATTCTCATGAATTATTTGCTGGTTTGGAAAAGGCCTCTTATCAAACAAATGATTACTTGTGGAGAATGCCAATTTTCAGAGATGAATATTTGGGTCAAATGAAGTCAGATGTTTCTGATTACAACAATATTGGAGGTAGACCAGGTGGTAGTTGTACTGCTGCTACTTTCTTGAGTGAATTTGTTGATTTCTCAAAGGTTAAGAAGTGGGCTCACTTGGATATTGCTGCTGTTACTCACACTAAGGCAGGATACACTGGTAGACCAACTCGTGCCATTGTTGAATATATGCAACAACTCTCAAAATAAATTATTTGATTTCCTCTTATTGATGTCTTATGAATAAACCTCCAAGCTCAATTTCACTTACTATGCTGCCTACTACAACAATTCCACAAGACTTTTGTTGAATCCATGTATTTGAAATTCAAATGTTGGCGATTGGGAATATTTTGGAGAATGGTTGAGAATTTAATTTATGTTCACTCACATAGAATTGTTCAATAAATAACGTTTGGTATTGATATAAGAGACATTAATAAAGTTTCACGTTTTATTCTTCACCAATTTCATTGTGACCAATATTAAGTGATGTTAATTGTTTCATTTCACTTATGTATTTGGATCCTTCTACACCAATTTGATTGTAACCAATATTAAGTGATGTTAATGATTTCATTCCACTTATGTATTTGGCTCCTTCTACACCAATTTCATTGTAACCAATATTAAGTGATGTTAATTGTTTCATTTCACTTATGTATTTGGATCCTTCTACACCAATTTGATTGTAACCAATATTAAGTGATGTTAATGATTTCATTCCACTTATGTATTTGGATCCTTCTACACTAATTTCATTGTGACCAATATTAAGTGATGTTAATTGTTTCATTTCACTTATGTATTTGGATCCTTCTACACCAATTTGATTGTAACCAATATTAAGTGATGTTAATGATTTCATTCCACTTATGTATTTGGCTCCTTCTTCACCAATTTCATTGTGACCAATATTAAGTGATGTTAATTGTTTCATTTCACTTATGTATTTGGATCCTTCTACACCAATTTGATTGTAACCAATATAAAGTGATGTTAATGATTTCATTCCACTTATGTATTTGGCTCCTTCTACACTAATTTGATTGTAACCAATATTAAGTGATGTTAATTGTTTCATTTCACTTATGTATTTGGATCCTTCTACACCAATTTCATTGGAATGTATATCAAGTGATGTTAATTGATTCATTTCACTTATGTATTTGGATCCTTCTACACCAATTTGATTGTAACCAATATTAAGTGATGTTAATTGTTTCATTTCACTTATGTATTTGGATCCTTCTACACCGATTTCATTGGAATGTATATCAAGTGATGTTAATGATTTCATTTCACTTATGTATTTGGCTCCTTCTACACCAATTTCATTGGAATATATATCAAGTGATGTTAATTGTTTCATTTCACTTATGTATTTGGATCCTTCTACACCAATTTCATTGGAATGCATATCAAGTGAAGTTAATTGATTCATTTCACTTATGTATTTGGCTCCTTCTATACCAATTTCATTGGAATATATATCGAGTGATGTTAATGATTCATTTCACTTATGTATTTGGATCCTTCTGCACCAATTTGATTGGAATGTATATCAAGTGATGTTAATTGATTCATTTCACTTATGTATTTGGCTCCTTCTATACCAATTTCATTGGAATATATATCGAGTGATGTTAATGTTTCATTTCACTTATGTATTTGGATCCTTCTACACCAATTTGATTGTAACCAATATTAAGTGATGTTAATTGTTTCATTTCACTTATGTATTTGGATCCTTCTACACCAATTTCATTGGAATGTATATCAAGTGATGTTAATTGATTCATTTCACTTATGTATTTGGATCCTTCTACACCAATTTGATTGGAACAATATTAAGTGATGTTAATTGTTTCATTTCACTTATGTATTTGGATCCTTCTACACCAATTTCATTGGAATGTATATCAAGTGATGTTAATTGATTTCATTTCACTTATGTATTTGGCTCCTTCTACACCAATTTCATTGGAATATATATCGAGTGATGTTAATTGATTCATTTCACTTATGTATTTGGATCCTTCTGCACCAATTTGATTGGAATGTATATCAAGTGATGTTAATTGATTCATTTCACTTATGTATTTGGCTCCTTCTATACCAATTTCATTGGAATATATATCAAGTGATGTTAATGATTTCATTTCACTTATGTATTTGGATCCTTCTGCACCAATTTGATTGTAATGTATATCAAGTGATGTTAATTGATTCATTTCACTTATG